CCCCAAAACCCCAAAACCCCAAAACCCCAAAACCCCTGGAATATTATAAATATTGGATAACAAGTAAATGGAAACTAATACAAACAACATGAAACAAGAGAGGAAACCTAATCGTACAAATGGGGTTTCTTGACCTTGGAATATAGCCCAGATCTTGACATTTGCTACAATAGGATTCCAAATTCTCGCTGTTTCTATCATTATATTACCAGCTTTGAATAGTGCATCTCTAAAGGTGACATTTAGCGTGATAAATACAGTTACAATATTGACTACATTGGTCTTTTGTGCGATTACCTCCCTAATAAACCCAGGGTATATCTCTGATAAATCCTCGATTTATACCTCTGAAAACATCGAGAGAGACATTGAATCTAGCAAAGAGCTATTGGAATGCCAAATCTGCCAACATAAAGTGCCAAAAGAATATAAGCATTGTGGAAGTTGAAACAAATGTGTTCAAGATTTTGATCATCACTGACAATGGCTTAACACCTGTATTGGATCAAAGAATTACAAATTCTTCATAAGTTTTGTCATTTCCTATGCCTGAATGAACTTGTCTGTGTCAATTACAGCAATAATCATCCTCTTTAACCAAAATAGTAGGACAGTACTCTACAAACAATCAGGTGATTTAATTCAAACAATTTTGATTGTGATATGCACCTGAGTCTTAACCATCACTATACCGATTCTATGCTTTTGTGTCGGACTTCTAACCTTCCATTGCTACCTCTGGGTCAAAGATATCACTACTTATGAGTTTATAATACGGAGAAGAAAAACTAAACTAGAAAAGGTATTCTTGAATCAAATAATTCCATTTAGATCAACAAGAAAAGTGTCCAACTAGAGCAAGAGAAGAAGATTATACAAGAAAAAATTAAAGATGCTATACAAAATCAGAACTATAGCAGCCGAGATGAGTTTAGCTCAATTGATAAGGTTGTCCTTCCAGGGGTTGATAACAACTTTAATGCCAATACAGCTTTGGCTAGTAATGCGAATACTATGACATCAAGTCCATGAGCTGTTCCCTGAGCAGATGATAAGTTGAATATGTCTCTTCGGGCATTCCAAAGACGTGGGACTGTTGCTCCATAATCTTATGTACGCTAAAGTATACTAATATTTAAATTCAGCTATGAATTTAATAAAAGGGGTTTTGGGGTTTTGGGGTTTTGGGGTTTTGGGG